GTGCAGGTTGATCAGGGATGGTGTGATAGGATCATACCTAGATATAGTACATACCAGCCGAGCTGCCGCGTTCTGCAGGCGTTGCAGCTTACCAAGATGAACAGCGGGCGTACCATATAATAGACCGTTACAATAGTCTAATCGTGACATTATAATAGCCTGTACAATGGACTTCCTATTATCATATGATAAATACTTTCTAATACGCCGGATGTTATGTAGATGGTAATAAATATTCTGACATATGCTGTTAATATGTGTGGTCATATTCATGTTTGCATCAAACCAAGCACCCAGGTTTCTAACAGAGTAAACCGCAGAAACCTTTACCTCACCTACTTGCAAGTCACTTATCATAACCTTATTTAACTGTGCGCGTGTACCTATAATAAGAAACTCGGTCTTAGCATCGTTCAGCCGAAGTTTGTCTTGGACCATCCAGGTCTTTTGTTCTTTGTTTCTTGCTTTGAAGTGCTGTGATAGGTTTTGTTGATTTTTGAGTCAAAAGGTAGGCATCGTCTCTACTGTTTATTTTCTTCTTTCTCTTAAAATCTAGGTTTCTCTTAATGATTTTAATATTACTTCATGTTATAATTCACATTTATGGGCAATCCATAATATTGACTAGTTTGGCTAATGGGAGTGGCCTGTTCTAGGCTCTCAGGTAAGGACAAGCAAAATGAAAAGAGGAGACAAGAAATGAAAATAGGCAAGATATTGCATGTCTTATACTTGAACAGGGTGCATTTTAAATAGAAAAGCAGGAGTGTCCAAGGGTTAAAATCTATCTTATACCCAGAGCCCACTGACCACTCTCCTTTTGGTCAAGAATGTGGACCCAGAGTTTTCATTAAGAATTCTAGTAGCCGTAGAATGGTGTAACGTTGCAGGAGAATATTTTTAAAAAGGCTCCACATCTGAGTAAAAAATAGTCATAGGCTATTGACCGTTTGCTGGATAATTCTTCTTAGTAAACAGAAAATTCTCAGATCTCCGATTCCTAAGGAACTCCCTGTGGACCTCATCCTGATTCTTCAAACATGACACAAGGGGCCCCTGGGGATGTGGTTTGATCGTTACAATAATTATTGGAATTAATATTTACTTGTATCAAGATGTTCATTGAATAACATTTTAATAAAAAAGGTATTATTGATTATTGTGTAGGACTTTTCAAAGTTAGTGGGTCTCTTTGTTATCTTTTCAAAGATTTTTCTTCTTTTTAATTTATTTCCTACAATACTGTTGTAAACTGTTACCCCATACCCTGCAAAGCCAAAAGCTTTTGAAGTCATTTGAACTCATTGAACTGTTGATTTCTCTCCTTCTGATAGGTTGTGATGCAGCTAAAGAAATAATATTCTATAGAGACATTAATATTGTTTAAATTTCTTTTGAAGATTTTTTCTGCAAGGATTATTGCACTTCAATTACTAACAATTATTAACTGATCTCATCATGAGAAACACTGATGTAAAATAATGAGGAAACTTTGTTACATAGCTGGAAATTTTTTTTCAACAGCACGCACTCTCACTGGTTACTTCAAGGTCACATGACGTCTAATAATAAAGCTGTTTCCCGCCAAAATCGCTGAGCAGGCAACATTGCAAAATCCATGATCATGTCAGAGGGTAACAGTGCACTGTTACCCACAAATGTTGACAGAGGTTTAATGAATTTCAAGCTTCAAAATTTCCAGCTGTATAACATCCCTCGGGGCCAGTCTTTAATTTAATGACGCTAGGATTAAAATAAATAGTGAGGTGAGTTTTGGAAGAAGCAAAGTGTTAGATCAACTTAGATTAGCCTCCATTAAAGTAGACAGATAAGTGATTCCCAGGTTCTCCAGCCACCAATCAATTTATTGCTGTACTTGTATATGAGATTTTTATCCACATTCAGAGATTTCAACCCTCCCAATAATTTGTTCGGGAGTCTCCCAAGTCGCCTCCTGTTCTCCTGATTTTTATCACATTCTCCCAATTTATCATGAAATTCTGAAAAGAAGGAACAAAATTGCTCGATCTGAGTGTAAAACGCTCTGTATTACCTTTTCCTATCCTATGTTGTCTCACCCAGTCTCTCCACTGAACACCGCCGCGGTGTCAAAATACATGGAACGCCACCTTAAAAAAATTAAATTTGCAGAATTTCCTGGTGGGGGATACCCCCACACCCCCCCCTAAAGGCTCAGGGCTTAGGCACTTGTATGAGCAACTTCCACTTTCCCTCAAAAGGGGTTGGAATCTCTGCCACATTTATCAATGAGCAAAGTCAGCAAGTATGTTTTGTGTTTTGTTTCATTGATAGAAACACTAGAGCTACATATTATTTTTGTTCATTTTCATACTTCCGTAAATCAGTTTGTACAGTGTTTTTGTAACAAAAATGATGTAATAGTATATGAATTTGATAAAAAGTCTTGAGTACAATTTTTTAGATTGTAGGTATTATTGATTATTGTGTAGGACTTTTCAAAGTTAGTGGGTCTCTTTGTTATCTTTTCAAAGATTTTTCTTCTTTTTAATTTATTTCCTACAATACTGTTGTAAACTGTTACCCCATACCCTGCAAAGTCAAAAGCTTTTGAAGTCATTTGAACTCATTGAACTGTTAATTTCTCTTCTTCTGATAGGTTGTGACGCAGCTAAAGAAATAATATTCTATAGAGACATTAATATTGTTTAAATTTCTTTTGAAGATTTTTTCTGCAAGGATTATTGCACTTCAATTACTAATAATTATATATTACTGATCTCATCATGAGAAACACTGATGTAAAATAATGAGGAAACTTTGTTACATAGCTGGAAATTTTTTTTTCAACAGCACGCACTCTCACTGGTTACTTCAAGGTCACATGACATCTAACAATAAAGCTGTTTCCCACCAAAATCGCCGGGCAGGCAACATTGCAAAATCTATGATCATGTCAGAGGGTAACAGTGCACTGTTACCCACAAATGTTGACAGAGGTTTAATGAATTTCAAGCTTCAAAATTTCCAGCTATATAACATCCCTCGGGGCCAGTCTTTAATTTAATGATGCTAGGATTAAAATAAATAGTGAGGTGAGTTTTGGAAGAAGCAAAATGTTAGATCAACTTAGATTAGCCTCCATAAAAGTAGACAGATAAGTGATTCCCAGGTTCTCCAGCCACCAATCAATTTATTGCTGTACTTGTATATGAGATTTTTATCCACATTCAGAGATTTCAACCCTCCCAATAATTTGTTCAGGAGTCTCCTAAGTTGCCTCCTGTTCTCCTGATTTTTATCACATTCTCCCAATTTATCATGAAATTCTGAAAAGAAGGAACAAAATTGCTTATCTTAAGTATTTTATTGCGATCTGAGTGTAAAACGCTCTGTATTACCTTTTCCTATCCTATGATGTCTCAACCAGTCTCTCCACTGAACACCGCCGCGGTGTCAAAATACATGGAATGCCACCTAAAAAAAAATTTAATTTGCAGAATTTCCTGGTGGGGGATACCCCCCAGACCCCCCCCCCCCCCCCCCCGCCCCCCGGCTCGGGCCCTCGTTGGGCCAACCACCCCTTCCTCCCCCAAACGGGGGGAGTCGTTTCCCCTTCTTTAA